GAGATATTGTGGTTTAAAGATTTTCCATTGAAAGTTGATCCAAGGACACGTTTCCGGTTACGAATTTCCGCCCGAAGTGTTGACATTAAGAACTATAGCTTCCTGTCATACAGATACATCATGAACAACTGACATGATCTGAAGCATGTTGACCTTTGGCTATAATACAAATAATGTATTGGGCTTTATCTGTTGGTTTTGTACATGAAATCTTTTTGATTAAACTTAATGTCAATTGTTAGAAAAAATAGGTGTAGCTGTCGTCAATAATTTATACTAATCCTACAACCCTTATATTTGGCTGTCATAAGCCCAGGCTGCTTTCCAATGTCATACATGGGTGATATTTATCATATGTGATATCAGCCATTGTGACGTCACAGGTTACAATACGAAGACGTCATAATTTCAAAGAGAAGTCAAAATTGTTCATGCTTTCCTAAATAAATAATCTCAAAATATGAATTTACACTTAATTTAATTGAATAAAGAATAAAACGAATATCAAGCTTTTAACTTAGAGAATTTTTAAACTGGATCAAGCATCGCGATTTGAACATGAGATGTTACGGACGTTATTTGGGATCCTTAATTTATGCCCGAGCCCATTTATAATATCACAGATAAATCGCGGCGATGAAAAGGGAGTCATATGCTGCAATTAAATACGAAAACGGCATGTCCCCATAAAGCGAAAATTAAATGCGTCTTGCGCCACATTTGACACCCATCATGCTGTTTTCTGTCACGTTCCATACTAGTATACTTGTCACCGAAGTTCCAAACAAGTTCAAACTAGTCTTCTTTCATGGTAGGTTCTATTATCTCATTCTTCTTAATTTTTCTGAAATCATTTGGATAGACACTCCTGGGCTCGTATTCACGAAACTGTTATAATGCTCAAGCATGGATTTCATGCTCAAGCATGGATTTCATGCCCAAGCAGAATATCTTTTTCCCATTGTAGATCAATAAAAAAAAACGTATTTGTCAATGATTTGGAAAAGACATTAAAAAGACTAAAAGCCAAAAAAAAATGTTTAGTGTTTACATTTGACTTTTTGATCGTTTGACAAGATTTAAGCGGTGAAAGTTGGTTGGAGCATAGAATCAAACCTTGAGCATAAGAACGATTTCATGAATACGAGCCCTGGCTAGGTCGGATTTCTCAATTGACCAATTCAACAAGTGGAATCCATACACTTGAGCAGGGTCTACAAATGTCCGGTAAGGTCTTGTAATTGTATTAAACTTGTCTGTGTCACATCCACTGTGACGTTTTAACTCCATTAGCTAGGATGTCGGCATGATAAGTGTGGTACTTAGGTACGGAAACTTAACGATCGGCAAATTAATCCCGTAACATTGTCAAAGGTTTGAACAGTGTGAGGGCCATTAATTTGTGGACTGAGGTCAATGTCAAGATATGAAAGAGCTAAAGTTGAGAGAGTCTGTGGAAGGTTGTTTATCAAATTATCGATGGATTAGTCATCGAATTTTTGTTTTGCAAGGAAACAAAACGTCATCAATATATCTGAATCTTAAATTAAAGACTTGGCCAGCTGAATTAGAAATATTTTTGACAAGTTTCATTTCGCGTACTGGAAGATGAATTCGATGGTTGTAGTTCTCAAATGTTTTGCTATTCAAAAAGATATTGTCATCAATATATCTGATAAATAAGAGCAACGGGGAAAAAACCGCATCTCTTTTATAAAATCCCTTGTCTGTTAACACCTACATCAATATACGACAAAATAGGTCGGCTGTACTAGTGCATAGTTATTCCAAATTGAATAAGAGTATGTGTATCAAAACATTAATTCATCACCCGGACGATATAATTTAGACCTGTGTATTTTGTCTTGCTCTGGAAGAGAGCTGTTAGACTAATTAGTATATACAGACAATGTGATAAAAGTGTCTGTATTAGTCAGTTTAAGGCAGAAAGCGGATAGTGTAATACCAGTAAAGCGTGGTGCAAGTTTTGGCATAAAGATTCGTTGTATAAAATATATTTACCATAGTATTACATTACCACTAAATAACCCTTCCATATTCAGATGGCATTCCTATAACCAATGAATGTCATGACCCGATAGTTGACGTCATTATTATTCTTATTATGACGTCATGATTGTTACGTTGGATATCACTGGCCATCCCTGGAAAGATGGCTGTGCAATTCATTTAACATGCATATGCGATCAATACATAATTTAAACTTGATGCTAAATATTGATAAGCATAATTCAATTTTCTATGAAATAAACAGATTCCAAAAATGACAAACAGAAGTATTAAATTATTTATGCCATTATTCAGCCGGCATTTATATTGTTTGTAAATGCCAAATGAAAGCAGTTCAATTTTTAAATTAAGATTTCATAGATTTACGAGAACTTTATTTTGATAATAATAGAGATTGATTTTGTTTTCAAAGAACTGATTAATTTTACAAAATCCACATATATGTTTGATTCCTTTGCGTGAATGAACACTACCACAAAATGTTTTATGTAAATTCATTTATTCTAATCTGGGGTACATGTAAGAGGTTAAAAATGGTTTTGTAAAACAAGGTTAAGATAATGTAATTAACTGAGTCATCAAATGTTGAAAATGTACATTTGCATCTAAAATCCTTATATGATACACCAAATGCTTCGAATTGTCTAATTATTGTCTCGAGGTTTTTTTAACCACCGTTGTCCGCCAAACAGCGAACAAAGGTAGATGTATGTTGTTTTTTTTATATAAAAGTATAACCGCAGGTTTGACCATATTAATTAATGGTCCATGACCTTTACGTTCTCCGTATGTCTGGGGTCGTAGGTAAAATATCAAACACGACATTTTAAAAACAATATATTATTTGTTTGAAAAAAAGGACAACTTCTATTTCATATAATGTTAACAAAGAACCTGTCTTAATCTATATTCTACGGATTCAAACAGATCGCTTGTAAATTAGACAAGGTGTGAGAATACACGTTTTAATTTATATTTTTTATTCAAAAAAGGATTATAAGCTTCATGTTGAAGCATGATTAAATATCAGAATAACTAATTTGAATTTGTGCCGTATTTCTAGTGTTTGAGTAATAGATACATTGATATAAGTGTACCTGTTGTTCGAATGGTGAGCTGGAATTCTGAGGATAGGACAATGCAGTACTTTTGTCGATAAATTGAAAAGGTTTAATAACTAAACCTTTAATAGTTGAATGTTCCACGGCATCAATATACAATGTAGATGGCAACAACATAGAAACCTACTGCGTACGTCCATATATACACATTGATACATTAAGCTAAATGGCAATGTAGGAAAAACAAAATATTTTGAAAAACAGTATCGCCGACACTAAAATGTCGTTAATGAGAAAAACAGTGTCTTATCATATGCAAAAACTTCAGTTGCATGAAACAGCATACTATTGTCCTCATTAATGACAATTTTGAGTGGACGATAAAGTTATTTACGTAAATTACACCATACCTGAATACGGATATACATATTCATAAAATTGGAATGCGAATTGAAATCTATCTAACTTAATATCGGTTGGTTAGAAATGGGTGCAACGAAGCAAGAAGAACGATATGTTAATTTTTGCTCTTAACGAGGGGATGTTTTACAAGCCAATCTTGGTAAATGTATCAAGTCATTCATTCAATGTTGCTCTATAATTATTGGAATTGTTTACAATACATCCCCATTGGAGTATTTTCAAGAAGAAAAGTCACAATGCTGACGCGATCCTGTTTTATCTTCCAATAATCAATCGCCCATTAGTACTTAACAGACCTTGGCACGTCATGTAAATTGCTCCAAGCTCCCGAGCAGCGAACTAGCTTCCTTCCTGAAAGTGTGTCTTACAGTGTCGAGACCTAAGATCAGATGACAAAGTGCCAGTTAGCTTTGTTAATTCACATAAACAGAGGTTTGTGAAGTTGTATTAGCGTTGTACACAATCCAATATTAAAATAGATCCAAGTTTTATTGCTGTGTCTTTTTGATTGTAAACACGAAGAAAAGGCATACATCTAAAAATAAATCTATCAGCGTTTTATAAATATGTAATTAGTCTGTATTATAGTCGAAATGGAGATTCCTATTTTAAATCACAAGATTTAAGAATCACTTCAGTAACAATGAATGTTGAGTCAATAATTAAAGAGCTTCATAAATTGACCTACAAAAAATAAGAAATAAGAATAGCATATATCAAATATAAACCTACAGGCGTTGTATGAATATGTAATTAGTCTGTATTATAGTCGAAATTGAGATATGTAAATTTGACTCTCTTTAATGACAATATATTTTGGATCAATAATTAAAGAACTATATACATTGACCTCCAAAAACTTGTTATATATATTTCATTTCGATTTTTGTACAGCAGGCTAAAGGTGTCATGAAAAGTTTTAAGCATATTGCATATGTAACATGATAATTGAAACCACTATTCAATAATTAATAATAAAGGCGTCATAGCTGTAACGTTAGATAGATGCACCACTGATTTTCTATGGAAATTGGTTGTTTTGATTTTTGAACAAACATAAAGGATACATTCCAATTTCTATGATATTAAAACATTCCACAAATGGTAAAGATATGATCAAAACTGGTAAAGATATGATCAAAACTGGTAAAGATATGATCAAAACTGGTAAAGATATGATCAAAACTGGTAAAGATATGAACTGGTAAAGATATGATCAAAACTGGTAAAGATGTAATCGAAACTGTGTAAAATACATGTAAATGACTCAGCTCTGCAGGCAAACAAATCGTAATGCACCAGAGTGTAAATGATATATCAACACGGCTCAATGCTTAAATAGTGTCAATAGAAAGTATGTAGTTTAATAGTACTCGTAACCTAAATCTGGTTTATTGTATCTGTGATTGGCTACGCATTGGTAGGTATGTTTATGATGATATGGTTGACTTGATATAACTATAATAATGTCTCTGTATGTTTCAGCCTGTGTGACACTTTCCGTGACGATATCTCTACCTCCCCTGTTCGGCTGGTCGACGTACGACTTCATACGAGTACAATCGTTTTGTTTCTGTGACTGGACGGTGGAACCTTCGTACGCCTTCTTCATGATCATTTGTTGTTTTGGGGTCCCATTTTGTGTGATGACGATTTGCAATATACTGATATTCCGCACCGTCAGAGCTAGCAAGAGAAAACTGGTACCTCAGGCCCCAAAGTCGTCGAACAATCCCAACAGCTGTCAAACCATACCAGAGAAATCCTCCGAAGAAAACATAGAATCTACGAAACAAACATCCTCGGAGAACTTTTTAAAAGTACCGAATGGTCTCGCTGTGGAAAAAATATCGGCTTATGATGACACTTCGACAATATCCTCAAATGAAAAGGCGCAATTAAGTAAAAGTAAAACAATCGAACCATCAGACATTAGTGCCAGTTCAAGTACTCCAAGTGTAGGCGTTACCGTAGATAAAATGTCCACGTCAGAGCTTATCACTGTTTATCTGCCTGCCGACGAATCAAAATCAAATTATGAAAAAACGTCAAACAGTAATTGTAAATACAATGTAAGTATGACAACAGCAAGTGGAAAAACTATCAAAAAGCACAAAATATTTCGAATCCACAGGAAAAGCAAGCACGGGAAAGCTCGAGCTGACGAGATTCGCCTAGCAACGGCGTTAGCTGTGGTTGTGGTGACATTCTTCTGCTGCTGGTTTCCTTACTGTATAAGCATGGTACTGTCTATGTTCGGCCCGGCCGGGGTCCCTAGGGGTCTACATATGACCACTCTGCTAGTCGGATACCTTAACAGTGCCTGTAACCCTATCATATATGGCGTCATGAACAAGAAGTTCGGGGACGGCTTTAAAAGACTTTTATGTTCGTGTAGAAAGTGACAACATTGTTCGCTGCAGCTAACTCAATTCTATTTTGATAGTTTGTACGTGACCAATATGAAACAAGAAAAGACAACTCAGGTGTTTGATCCTTAACCATAGAACCAGCGTTTTATTTTTGAATGTGCATGATTGCTAAAGTCAGAGGAGATATTCCAAGTATGGGTTTGGTTTAATACGTGGCGGCATATTCCGAGTTTCCTCTGACCCTGACACCAGACTAAGATATTGACATCTTTCTGTCAAAATGTCTAAGTCTGGTGTCAGGGCAAGAAAAAGTTGGGGCTAGTGGCGACAATACCAAGGGCCACGTACTTGTGTCAGGAGTTTGTTGTTTTTGACGTTTAGATAGCCATAAGTTAAAATAAGGCGCATGAAATCACGAATAAGTTGACTTGTCAGTGGAAATACTACAAATGCATTCGTGATTTGTGATTAGTCCGGCAAGGACGTTGTTTACTCAAGAGAAACAAATAATTATGTAATAACTCAAGCATTTTGTGACCAGAAAGAATGATCTAATAACAAAATGCATGATGAAATTCATACTGTGTAATTTAGTCAAGGGAGAAAATCCAAACGTATGTGCAAAATTGGAAATTATTGAAAAGTTTCATTTTTGTATTGTTCTACGGCCTATCCACGGGTATTTATTTAGAATAGGGGGTGGGGGTGGTTAACTATAACTTTACAAACGTCATTGTGTAGTATGTGTAGAGTATATCCCCCTTTAGTTCGGGCGGATTTATGTGGCCCATCAACATGTTAAGTCATTTTTCGACATTTTTGGGTAACTCGGACAATATGTACCCTAATAAGATCATCCCAGCATTATTGAAATCAAAGAAGATTACACATAACGGCGTTAAATCAAGCCAGGTCTGTATTGTGTTTAGGAAAAAAATCATGAAGTCTGTAGTCAGGGGAAATAAGTGTAGCATGCATGGTATATTGGAAGATGAAATAGCGCATGATCATAGTAAATCAGGGGGGATAACCAAAGCAGTATGGTATCAATGAAAGAAACACAAAGTATGGTTAAGGCATGGAATATCATATCCCAGCAGTATATAATCAACGCAGACAACTAAAGCAATCAACTATCAAGGGAGATAACACATGAAGCACACAATCAAAACATATATCTTATGAAACATATTGTCAAGGGAAATAACTCATTAAACATATAATTGTGTTAAGGGCGATAGCTCAAATATCGAATTCAAGTAGAGATTTTTCAAGCAGTTTATGCAATCAAGCAAGATTCCTCAATCAGTTCACAATCAAGAGAATAGCTCATGCAGTATAAATGTAACTATTATTGATAAATCAGGCAGAACATAATCCAACAAATATTTAATCAAGGGAAATAACTCGAACATTTTATTATCAAGGAAGATAATTCAAGCAGTATAATCAAATAAAATAACCGAGATGACTCATGCATGTATAATCACGGAAACTAACCAATGTAGTATAACTATTATCAGTGTAATATTTCAGGGAATTCACAAACAAGTTAGATAGCACAATGTATAATCAGTGGTCTTTGATTGAAAAAGAAATCCCAAGGGAGATAACTCAAAAGACAGGGGAGATAAGCCGATCATGTACATTTATGCATCCATAGGGCATACTTAAGAGGTAGAATCAAGCATTATGCATTCAACAATATGTTCACAATGTGATCAAGGGCGATTACCTAAATGAATGACTGTGATAGGATCAATGTAAATGAAAAAAGAAAACAAAAGGATCACCGGTCCTTTCCGTATAACGCCTTTATCCGTAATTGCCTTCCTGGAATTCCTAATTGTATATTACATGTGTTGCATCGATTCCATGTAATAAGTAGTTCATGTTGTTTTATTACCTAGTTCTTGAATCGACAGTGTCTTTGTATATATATTATTCATATTTTCTCTACAAAATAACCGTATTTATAACCATCTGCAGGAAACCCAAGAATCAGTTCGCTATACGCAAAATGTGTTATAAATGTGTCATGCTCTTTAATCAATAGCACGCCAAAGATTACAAATGTGACTGTAACCACCTTCAAAATCCAAGGATTCTGCTCCCGATAAACTTACCTTTATTACACCTTTGGAATACGGCAAAATTGGAGGCATGCAGAAAAGTATTTGATTTGCTTCAGGCATAAAAAAAAACCTGATCAATCGCTAGGCTTATATCTGCCCTTTGAAGAATACAGAGAATTTACAATAAATTTCAAAGACGGTCGCTTATACCGTTATACCGTTCTGCGATCAAACGATTCATTTCACCTTAATCAAAGCATCATACTAGTCTTTCTGTATCACTTACATAGTTGGGCATACGTACCCTTTAATTTGGACGTGCGTGTTCCAAGGAGAAAAAGATATATCAAGAAAAGTACCATCAGATTCCAAAGAAGGACTTTCATAAGCAATAATCATAATTGAGTGCGTGTACAGAATCTTCAATTTGGTGACATATTGCAAGGAGAGAAGACGTTATCGGGGGCGGAACTGTTGGACTCCTTAGATGAACCGTTATAAGCGTTATCTAATATCAAGTATGGTGGTATAACAAGTCTTACTGTAGTTACCTGTGACTACCATACTTGTAATGCTACAAGTAATCAAAACATTCATATAGGTCCTAATTTGCCATTTATAATTTTCCAATTTTGATATATTTTAAATGTATCAGTTGTACATACCTTGAATACATAGGAATATTCCAATGCTGGCCAGTCCCATCATCGGGTGGATAGTCCTCCTTCGTTAGACGTTTCGGCGCTTATCCACGACTTCCTCCAGAGGTGCGCCGATTGGGTTGATCAGACCCAGCCAGGGACTGGTCGGCTCTCTCTGCTGCTGGTTGGAATTGCAGCCTGCTGCCATGTTGTTGCTGCAGCCTCCTGCATCATCCATCGAGTCTTGTGATGTCCCGTGTTGCAATAGGGGCACTTGTACTCTCGAGGGCGTCCTCGATACTTCAGGGTTTACGCTCACTTTCGCTCTCTGCACTCATGGAATATGTCATAGCATATTTGAAAGCACTCGGCTAGCTACTTGATTGATCTCGGGTTAAAACACCTGACCAATCGCTAGGCTGATGCCTGTCCTTCGAAGATCACAGAGGAGCGACACCCGACTTAAAGTCATTCAATTTTACCGTTGCGCAACCGCGAGATTCTTTTGAAGTACATCAAGGATCATAATAGTCTTCTCGTTTCATCCACAAAGTGGTTCATACTGAGCCTTCAATTTTGTTATGACATATTCCAGAGGTGCAGAGAGCGATAGTGAGCGTAACTCATCGAATATCGAGGGTGTATGGAGGCTGCTTAAGTCCCTACACGATCCATACATTATTTTGTAAGTAAGTGGTGGGAGTGTGTCACAGTTGTTTAAATTGCTGGTATTTATCGCTATACGATCTGGAACCGTACATATCGAGTTTGAGGCCGCAGGGCAAAAACTGTCTTCCGTCGTAATAAGTGTTTTTCTATCTATAATGTTACAAATAAACAAGCACATTGTATCAATGTTTTGATCCAAATGTTGCAGATATATGATCTACATAGTGTAAGTACAGACCCTGGACCGTTTTTCTTTACCAAAAGTGCGTTGCGTTTCCGTTGCGTTTCCGTTGAGTTTGCGTTGCGTTTGCGTTGCGTTGCGTTTGCGTTGCGTTGGGTTTGCATTGCGTTTGCGTTGACCGTTTGATGTGCGTTTTAAATTTAGCGTTGAATGTGCGTTGAATATGCGTTTTTCTGTTTATTTAAGAAAACGTTCGATGGCTATTTACAGGTTATTTTAAGAATATGTGAGTGCTGAAATGTTTTTATATAAAATGCAAATTAAAAAGAAAATAAATATACAAATAAAATAGATAAATACATGAAATAATCGGTTGGAAGTTAAGCAATGACTTATATCAATATTCGAATATTTGGGCTGCGTCGTGTGCTGATTGATGGATGCATGTCTATACACGTACCTTAATTGGCCAATAAAATTATATGTAGAAAATAATCGAGTAATTAGTTATTTGTATATTCTAGATATTTAATTTTCATACTTATATCATTCTGTTCATATGAATATATGAATCGAATTCAACTAAATCTACAAATACTTCCATTACTGCACGCATGGGCTGATGGTTTCGTAACGACACCAGGGTAGTCTGGATTGAAGAGAGGCTTATAATCAGTGCGTCTAAACGGCGAGTTTCATTTTATAAAATATTTGTAGTTTTATCTCTATGTGTGTATGCTTTTTCGTTAATTCTATTGTGTATATTGTTGGTTTTGTTTACGTCCAGGTCGAAGTATGCAAGTCCTGCGCTCGACTCGTAATATGTATCGGGGGTGCTTCCTGCGAGATTCGAGAGGTACAAGGCCCCTGCCAACATTGACAATATATAAATTTTGATTACGTCATTGAAAATCATTGAGACCTAGCAATTTTACTACAGTAGTTGTGTATTCGGTATTTCTTTAAGCTGAATTAAGAGGACACATTATTATTAATTTTTAACATTTAATAAAACAGTGATGAGTATTGAACTAAGTATTTAAAATATTGAAAAGATTAATAAAGAACGTGATTATGGTTAAACCACGAATGGCAAAAACCGTCACAAATGAAAAAAAATATCAATAAATAATTAAATTGAATAAATAAAACAAATTATTTGACAAAACCATAAAATGAAATAAAAATAATTGAATTGAATAAAGAAAACAAATTAATTAATAAATCAATAAAATGAAATAAATAAATGAACATATTTACTTCAATAAAATAACTTAATAAATGCAGGGGGGTATAAATGCTAAAGACAGTTGACATTTGTAGGTGATGTAGAAGGGTGTAGGTGATAAAGGAAGTACAGGTTGTGTAGGAGGGTATAGGTGGTATATGAAGTAAATATGATGTAGGAGGGTATAGGTGGTTATTGGAAGTAAATGTGATGTATGAGGGTATATGTGGTATAGGAAGTATAGATGACATAGGAGGGTATATGTGGTACAGGAAGTATAGATGGTATAGGAAGTATAGAAGGTGTAGAAGGGTATAGGTGGTATAGGAAGCATAGATGATGTAGGAGGGTATAGGTGGTTAGTGGAAGTAAATGTGATGTAGGAGGGTATAGATGGTATAGGAAGTATAGGTGATGTAGGAGGATACAGTTATTAAAGCTGATGTAGGATGGTAAAGGTGGTATAGGAAGTATAGATGATGTAGGAGGGTATAGGTGGTATAGGAAGTATAGATGGTATAGGAAGTATAGGTGTTGTAGGAGGGTATAGGTGGTATTTGAAGTAAAGATGATGTAGGAGGGGATAGGTGGTATAGGAAGTATAGATGACATAGGAGGGTATATGTGGTACAGGAAGTATAGATGGTATAGGAAGTATAGAAGGTGTAGAAGGGTATAGGTGGTATAGGAAGCATAGATGATGTAGGAGGGTATAGGTGGTTAGTGGAAGTAAATGTGATGTAGGAGGGTATAGGTGGTATAGGAAGTAAAGATGATGTAGGAGGGTAAAGGTGGGATAGGAAGTATAGATGACATAGGAGGGTATGAGTGGTATAGGAAGTATAGATGGTATAGGATGGTATAGGTGGTATAGGTGGTATAGGAAGTATAGATGGTATAGGAAGTATAGGTGGTGTTCCTGGGTAAAGGTGGTATTTGAAGTAAAGATGACATAGGAGGGTATGAGTGGTATAGGAAGTATAGATGGTATAGGATGTATAGGTGGTGTAGAAGGGTATAGGTGGTATAGGAAGTATAGATGACATAGGAGGGTATAGGTGGTATATGAAGTAGAGGTGAAGTAGGAGGATATAGTTAATAAAGATGATGTAGGATGGTAAAGGTGGTATATNTTGGTCAGAATCATCCTTGGTAGATGAGGCTACAACATTGTAAAATTATTCCCACCCCAACCCCTGGGGCCAGGGTGGGGCCCCCAAGGGAAAATTTACCAATATTTCAAAAATCTTCTTCTCCAGACTCAGAGGTACTAGTCATTTTCTCTTTATAGATGGAAAGATCTTCAGGGGCTTTATTTAAATTGTAAATTTCAGGACCCCCGAGCTATCCGTTCTCCCTTGGGGAGGGGGTAAAGTTTACTATAGTTTATATAGGGAAACANGAGGGTATAGGTGGTATAGGAAGTATAGATGACATAGGAGGGTATGAGTGGTATAGGAAGTATAGATGGTATAGGAGGGTATAGGTGATATAGGAAGTATAGATGGTATAGGAAGTATAGGTGGTGTTCCTGGGTAAAGGTGGTATTTGAAGTAAAGATGATGTAGGAGGGTATAGGTAGTATAGGAAGTAAAGATGATGTGGGAGGGTATATGTGGTATAGGAAGTATAGATGGTATAGGAGGGTATAGGTGATATAGGAAGTATAGATGGTATAGGAAGTATAGGTGGTGTAGGAGGGTATGGGTGGTATTTGAAGTAAAGATGATGTAGGAGGGTATAGGTAGTATAGGAAGTAAAGATGATGTAGGAGGGTATAGGTAGTATAGGAAGTATAGATGATGTAGGAGGGTATAGGTAGTATAGGAAGTAAAGATGATGTAGGAGGGTATAGGTGGTATAGGAAGTATAGATGATGTAGGAGGGTATAGGTAGTATAGGAAGTAAAGATGATGTAGGAGGGTATAGGTAGTATAGGAAGTATAGATGATGTAGGAGGGTATAGGTAGTATAGGAAGTATAGATGATGTAGGAGGGTATAGGTGGTATAGGAAGTATAGATGGTATAGGAAGTATAGAATGTGTAGGAGGGTATAGGTGGTATAGGAAGTATAGATGATGTAGGAGGGTGTAGGTGGTACAGGAAGTATAGATGATGTAGGAGGGTATAGGTGGTATAGGAAGTATAGATGATGTAGGAGGGTATAGGTAGTATAGGAAGTATAGATGGTATAGGAAGTATAGGTGGTGTTCCAGGGTATAGGTGGTATTTGAAGTAAAGATGATGTAGGAGGGTATAGGTGGTATAGGAAGTATAGATGACATAGGAGGGTATATGTGGTATAGGAAGTATAGATGGTATAGGAGGGTATAAGTGGTATAGGAAGTATAGATGGTATAGGAAGTATAGGTGGTGTAGGAGGATATGGGTGGTATTTGAAGTAAAGATGATGTAGGAGGGTATAGGTGGTATAGGAAGTATAGATGGTATAGGAAGTATAGATGGTGTAGGAGGGTATAGGTAGTATAGGAAGTATAGATGGTATAGGAAGTATAGAAGGTGTAGGAGGGAATAGGTGGAATATGAAGTAGAGGTGAAGTAGGAGGATATATTTAATAAAGCTGATGTAGGAGCGTATAGTGGTATAAGAAGTATAGGTGGGATGTGAAGTATAGATGACATAGGAGGGTATAGGTGGTATAGGAAGTAGAGATGGTATAGGATGTATAGGTTGCGTAGGAGGGTATAGGTGGTATATGAATACAATGTGATGTAGGGGGTATAGGTGGTATATGAAGTAAAGATGATGTAGGAGGATATAGGTGGTATAGGAAGTATAGGTGGTATAGGAATAAAATGTGATGTAGGAGGGTATAGGTGGTATATGAAGTAGAGGTGAAGTAGGAGGATATAGTTAATAAAGCTGATGTAGGAGCGTACAGTGGTATAAGAAGTATAGGTGGTATGTGAAGTATAGATGACATAGGAGGGTATAGGTGATATAGGAAGTATAGATGGTATAGGATGTATAGGTGGTGTAGGAGGGTATAGGTGGTATAGGAAATATAGATTACATAGGAGGGTATAGGTGGTATAGGAAGTAAAGATGATGAAGGAGGGTATAGGTGGTATAGGAAGTATAGATGACATAGGAGGGTAAAGGTGGTATAGGAAGTATAGATGGTATAGGAAGTATAGGTGGTGTAAGAGGGTATAGGTGGTATTTGAAGTAAAGATGAGGTAGGAGGGTATATGTGTTATAGGAAGTATAGATGACATAGGAGGGTATAGGTGGTATAGGAAGTATAGATGACATAGGAGGGTATGAGTGGTATAGGAAGTATAGATGGTATAGGAAGTATAGGTGGTGTAGGAGGGTATAGGTAGTATATGAAGTCAATGTGATGTAGGGGGTATAGGTCATATTTGAAGTAAAGATGATGTAGGAGGGTATAGGTGATATAGGAAGTATAGATGGATATGAAGTATAGGTGGTGTAGGAGGGTATAGGTGGTATATGAAGTCAATGTGATGTAGGGGGTATAGAAAGTAAAGGTGAGGTAGGAGGGTATAGGTGGTATAGGAAGTAAAGATGATGTAGGAGGGTAAATGTAGTATAGGAAGTATAGATGATGTAGGAGGGTATAGGTGGTATTTGATGTAAAGATGATGTAGGAGGGTATAGGTGGTATAGGAAGTATAGATGATGTAGGAGGGTATAGGTGGTTTAGGAAGTATTGATGTAGGAGGGTATATGTGGTATAGGAAGTATAGATGACATAGGAGGGTATAGGTGGTATAGGAAGTATAGTATAGGAAGTATAGATGATGTAGGAGGGGATAGGTGGTATTTGATGTAAAGATGATGTAGGAGGGTATAGGTGGTATTTGATGTCAAGATGATGTAGGAGGGTATAGGTGGTATAGGAAGGATAGA